TCCTTCTTCTTCTCGAAGGGGGGGAGGTGGGGAGGATGGCGGAGTGCTATCCGCCATCTCCGCCTCCCCCCTTCTGATTCGTTCCGCCTCCTCCTTCTGCGACATTACAGCGCCGCAGAAGTCAGAGGCGGCCTTCTATTTATCCTCCCCTTCCAGCATTGCCTGAATCAATGCCGGAAGGGAAAGGTCCTGTCCAACCACTGCGGTCAGGGCTCGGCGCTCCTCCGACCAAGCCTCACACTCGGTGAGGGTGTGTTGCGCCGAGTCCCGACTGGCCGCACAGTGATGACATCCCGTCGTATGCTCCCGACCAATCCTGCACAGGTAGTCACCGAAGCAACCGTGCCCGGTGAGTACCTGTGTCAGGTGGAACTCAAGTCCTCGTCCTCGCCTGTCTACCCATTCCGGTAGACAGGGCTGGATGGCGTGGGTGGTCCATCTGCCCGTCGCAGAGTCCGCAATAACCTCTTGCCATTGGGACACTGCTCTGCGACGGGCACTCTTCCTGATTTTGTCCACGGCCCCTGGTCTTAGACGGGCACTCCCGGTACGGTCAGGGTCCCTCGTACGCCGATAAACCTCGGCGTACGAGTTCGCCAAAAACTCGACCGGGAGGAGGCCCGCCAGGGCCGTGGCCGCCACAAACAACGTCGTGCAGTAGGACCGAATGATCCTAACAGCCAGTCGGCGCTGTTGGCGATGAATCATCGCTTTTGATTCGCCGACTGGCCAGGACTTTATGGCCCATACCGGTGCCCCGTATATGGACACCAACTGCACGACATTGGCGTATAAGCGCCAAACCTTTTACGTTTTGGCCCACCCACGTTGAGCAGGAGACGGCCTAGATCAGCCGCCATCCTGTCCGCTTTGGGGAGGATTTGCACAAAGTGCTGTTCGAATCCCCAAAGCCCATCGAGAGTGAGGCCCAGATATTTCATCTGGGTCCCCACTAGGACTCGGGCTTCCCCCACCCACATTTGGATGGGGGAGGACGCCCCATGGCCTTGTTGTAAAAATACAAGGCTTCCGCCTTGTGCGGGGCGACCTCCAGTCCCATAGCTCTAATGAAGCATACGACTGTTCGGGTTGCGGCATTGGCCGCGTCCCGAGCCTCTACCCAGTTCTTCCCCCGGGCCACCACCAGAGTGTCGTCTGCGTAACATAGCAGACAACAGCCCAGGGGAAGCGCCGTGCAGAGCACTCCTGTCATACGCGAGGTCCACAGAAGGGGGCCTAAAACCTGACCCCTGTGGAACCCCGCAGTGCATAGGCCTTCTGCTTATCCGCTCCAGTTGGTCTTTGTACTGGAGCGTCCTGCCGCGGAAGTAGTCCCAGACTACGTCCCTTAAGTATTGGGGGAGGCCATGATGTTCCATGGCCACCCCCACCCAGTCCCAGGGAAGGGAGTTAAATGCGTTGACAATGTCTAAAGACACAGCCAGTGCCACCTCTCCCTTCCTTACAATTTGGTCCGAGAGGGCCCTCAGGTGCAGAATCGCATCTGTAGTAGAGCAACCCTCTCGGAATCCAAACTGGTCGTCACTTAAGTCGGGACCAATCCGCGACAGGTGCTGGACGATTCGGTCAGCAATTACTCTCTCGAATAACTTGCTGACCTCGTCCAGCAGGCAAATCGGTCTGTAAGCAGAAGGCTGCTCTGCCGGCTTCCCCTCTTTGTGGATGAGAGCCAGATTGGCTGTTTTCCATGCCGAGGGGAAGGTGCCCGTCCTGAGGCAGGTGTTATACAACCTCCTCAGGCGGGCCCCTACTCCGCCAAAAACCAAGGCCCAAACTCGACCAGGGATCCCATTCGGACCGGGGCCTTTCCAGCCGCCCCCAGTCTTTTAGCTGCCTCGGAGAGCTCTCTTCCTGAAATTTCCAGGTCCTCGGACCAGGGGGGAGGGTTCCTCTTCGGGGGGATGTTAACATCCCTTTCGGGGAAGAGGGTCTCCACCACCTGGCCGAGAAACTCCGATTCGAGCGTCTCTGAGATGAGGGTTGCCGCCGGTCTTAGCCTGTTCAAGACTATCCAATACGGACGCCCCCATGGGTCCCTGTCGAGTTCTGCAATCAATTCCTCCCAGGCCTTGGCCTTGGCCCTGCAAATGGCCGACCGCAGTGCATATCTTGCGGAAAGGTACACACCACGCGCCATTGCAGTCTCTTCGTCGTCCCCACCCGCCCTTTGTCGGGCCCTGAGGAGATCACGACGGGCCGAATTGGCCGCTCTGCGGAGTTCCGCAATCTCCTCGCTCCACCAATACGCCGCCCGACGA